GACTTTATTTCCAATTCTAAGTCAAATTTTCTAGCAGCATCCACTCCTCTATAAAATATGAAAATCAGTTTTTATTAAGAAGATCTGAGCAAGAGTTGTGGCATATTCCTGTAATCCCAGGCACTCAGGATGCCAAGACAGAAGAACCACAAATTTGAGGCCAGCCTCTGCAAGTTACTGAGGATCAAAGAAATTTAGCTAAATTCTGTCTGAGAATTTAAAAATAAGAATATATATATATAAAACACACACACACACAAGGCTGGGAATATAGCTCAGTTTTAAAGCACCCCTGTATTCAATTCCCAGTACCAATAAATAAAATAATTGAATTTTAATATAATAAAGGTCTGGGATGTAGTTTAGTAGGAAAATATCCCTGAATTAGAAGAAAAAAAAGTAGGAAATAAAAAAGAACCTACTATGTATTTTCCCAAATTATTTGTAAAGTGGCTGTAGGGGTGTTGAGAATAAAAGGATTTATCTTTATTATTCTGTTTTTCAGTATTTTTTAAAAATCATGATGAATTAGTTTCTGGTTCTTGTGTAATTGCAAAGTAAAATCTAAATATGTGTTTACATTGTTTGTGAGAAAACAATGATGGTTCATGTAGAATTTTCAAAACTTGGAAAGCTGACTTTTAATTCTGCCTAAAGAAATAAGGACCACCTTTTCTGAGAAAATGTACCCAAGTTCCTTCCAAGGTGGATCTGAAAACTGATCAGAGAGAGAAGAAAGGTTCAGGTTGTTTCACTTTCCTTTGAACTCTTCATTGACCTTTTAGTCTTCCAACTAAAACCACCTGGGTACACTTCCATCTAAAACCAACTGGGTACACTCTTCACTGGTATCTACTTCGAACACACAAATGAGGAAAATATTGGACTTGTTACCTGGCAATATTCTCTCAAACCCTGATGTTATTTGTTTGTTTGTTTGTGTGTTTCTTGTAAATCTTAAGATTCAGAGACCCTTAAATCAAGCTTGTTTAGAAGTTGCAGGTGGGTGGATGGCAGAAGCCAACAAGGGACAATAATTTGCATATTTTCACACAGAACTGGGTCCTAATTTAGGGCTGCTCCTTGATAAATTTCCTTCTGCAGCTCTAACCAAGAAGAGCCATCCAGCAGCACTGCTTTCCTGCAACCAGCTCTCCTGGGTTTTCCTATCTGAAGCTTACAGCTAGCGGGTTCGGATAGGCTCACTGAGCTACAGTGGCATCATAGAAGTGGTTTGGATGCAGGACATCAATTCCTGGGTCCAGCAAAAGGGTGCGAGTTCTGCCTGCGCTCTGCATGCACTTCGACTGCAGAAAGCATCCTTCACACTGTCCTCCCTGCTCTGTTCTGTTCTGTGTTTGAAAATTTCGAGTCCGTTCATGCATCAAATGAAACATCTTTTTATGTGTTGGAAATTTTTGATATGCTTTGCCCATTTTAATTAAGTAGTTGCTTTGAATGAACTCTTTAAATATTGAAGTATCTCAGTCTCTAAATAGGTTGTATTGTCTTCTAAGTTGTGCATATATCAACAAGTCATTTCTACATACATGAAACAATGGGCTTACAGAATGTATTCAAAATTCCATATTCAATAAGGAAATGTATTCAAAATTAAGACTCGCAGGGCCCTCCATGGTTCTGAATATTCTGGCTGTGTCTAACTTTATATCCTTCATTTATTCCACTCTTGCATCAGCTCACTCCACACTCAGTTCAGTCATTTGAACTTACACTTTCTCCCACTTGATTATCCCTGCCCACCACACCCTAATCATGTTTCATCTCTAAAGTCAGATTTTTTTCTTATACTAATCAGGATAAACTCTTCAGCATTTATGATCACAGTAACAGTATTTTCCTTCATAACACTCAACCTTATTGAAGGTAAGTGATTATTCCTTATCCTATCTATCCAATGCCTTGCTCTAGAAGTAGATATTTGCTCTTTCATGAGAGCAGTTAGTTTCCATAGATTTGTCTGCTTTTTTAGTGGTCTATCCTTGATGCCTAGAACATGTTGTTACTAAATAAGGAATAAAAGAATGCATTCCAATTTATCAGTCACTGAATAAAATACATACTAACCAACAAAGGACTTCAATTATAGTGAAAGCAGCTGAGATTAAACTCTTAATTCCCATTAGACATCAACACTTAATCATGTAATTTGATGGAGTGATAAACTTCTTTGAAGTAATCCAACATTTATATATTTATTTGTTTATTTACTTTTGTTTCTGACAATTCCCTTTCCCAGGAGTAGTAACCACTGATTTATGTTCCCAGAACGATTTCTATTTTGATTTGAGAAAGGGTCTCCTAAATTACTTAGGGCCTGGCTAAATTGCTAAAGTTGGCCTGGACTGTGCATTCCTCCTGCCTCAACTTCCACAGTAGCTGAAGTACATGCAGAGGCTGTCATGCTTAAACATTAATATTTTAAGAGCCATATATGGTGGGTATCATAGTGTGTGCCTGTAGTTCTAACTCAAATGAGCACAGGAATTAGAGGCTACCTGAGCAACACAGTGAGGCACTATAAAAAATTTTTCTTTTTAAAAAGCAAATGCAGAGTTAGGGATGTGGATCAAGTGGTAGTACACTCTCCTGACATGCCCATGGCACTGGGTTTGATCCTCAGCGCCACATACAAATAAAATAAAGATGTTGTGTCCACCAAAAATTAAAAAAAATAAATATTACATAATTCTCTCTCTTTCTCTCTCTCTCTCTCAAAAAAAAATCAGATGCAGCACAGTGTTATATAATCTATTTCAGAAAACTTTTAAATTTAAACTTATATTTTTATTTGACCAATAAAATCATGTAAACATGATACTTTGAAGTACAGACACATTTTGAAATCACCAAACCTATCTAATTAATCTATGCATAACCTATTCATCACATAGCTATTTTTTAATAAGAACACTTAACATCCTCCAGGCATGGTGGTGCAGGCCTATAATCACAGCTGTTGAAGAGGCTGAGGCCAGAGAGTCACAAGTTCAAAGTCAGCCTCAGTAACACAGTGAGGCCCTAAAGAATGCTTAGTAAGATCTTCCTTGTTTTTATTTTTTTAAAAAATTGGGGATTTGGATCAGGGGTTAAGTCCCACTGAGTTCTATCCTTGGTATGTATGTATGTATGATGTATAAGTAAGTAAATAAATAAATAAATAAGTAAAATACTTGACATCCACTGCCATACTATTTTCCAAACACACAATGTATTATTATTAAATATACTCACCATGTTGGACAATGGCTAAATTGTCCATATATACTAACCAACAAAAATCTTCAATTACACTGAAAGCAGCCTACATTAAATGATCAATTTCCAGTAGATATTAATTTAATCATGAAATTAGAGGGAATGCACCACTTCTTTGAACTAATACAGCATTTATGTATGTACTTGCTTATTTGTTTTTGGTCCTGACAGTTGAATCCAGTTAAAATCATAACAAGCCGAAAATAAAGTGATGGAAAAACAGAAGGATTTACTGCACAGCTGCCCTGACACCCAGTAAAGAATGTTTTTAATGTAGCCTAAATCAATGACTATGTGCTTAGATCACTAGAGAAAAAACTAGAAATTAAGATGAATTGATCATGCTTCATCAACGCATCTCTAAACTGAAGGGTAGTCTCTGGAGAGGAAAGCACCATGTTACCATTGCTAATTAATGTTCGATCTCTCACTGTCACCATTTTTTTTTTTTTTTTTTTGGCATTGGGGATTGAACTCATGGCTAACCTACCACTGTATTACAACTCAGTTTGCAATGGCCTCACTAAGGTGCCCAGGCTGGCCTTGGACTTAGTGTCCCTTTGCCTCAGTCTCCCCAACAGCTGGAATAGTTGGCATGTGCCACTGCACTGGGCTTTCCTGTTGATTTTATTTAAATAACAATGGATGAATTATTGCTGATTATTACTGTAGAATGTGCATCCATCTTCTGAAAATATGAAGGCACTCTGATGTTCAGAACTGATTTTGAAAAATATTATTTTCTTTAATGAGAATTAATAGAAAATTTCTTTTTGATTTCCTATTCAGTCCTTGGGCTAAAACTCAGGAAATTACAAATGCTGGGCGAGTGCTCTCCCACTGATTACATCCCCAGAATTTATATTCTAATTTTCAATTTAAAACTTAATTTATTTCTTATTGATAATAAGGATTGAAGACAGGATTTCTCTACAACTGACTTACATTTTCAACCCTTTATTTTTTATTCTGAGACAGTATGTCAATAAATTGCTGAGGTTGGCCTGACACTTTTAATCCTCCTGCCTCAGCCTCCAAAATAGCTGGTTAAGAGGTACATTGATACATCTCACTCTTATTTTCTTTTTTGAAATATATTGTTTAATTTTGGTTAGAGGCATAAATTCACCCGATTGTAGTTTCAGGAGTTGTAAGTTAAAGCCAACAGTGATTAAGTCAAGCAATTTTCATATGAATTAAACTTAATTTTAATTGTCTTTAGAAAAGTACATCTATGGGTTGAGAGGTGGAAAGCTTAGACATATGTCATAAAGACTGTCTTCACATTTACTATAGTCATTGAATCAGAGAGGGAGAGAGAGAGAGAGAGAGAGAGAGAGAGAGAGAGAGAGAGAGAGAGAGAGATTGATTTTACATGGGTATCCAGAGTAAACACCTAATGTAAGTAAGTCTGAAATCATCCTAAACTTTCTTTGTGCCAGTATTAAACTTGCCCAAATTAATGAGAAAGTTGGTTTTTAAAAAATCCATATCATGCTCATTTCATTTTGCCATTTGTGTTATAGAAGAAACTCAACCTGTCCATATTTTTTATATCTAGATTTCTATTGGAGAAGGTTATTAGAAAGATTATGCATGATTCAACTGAAAAAGCAGTTACCAAAACCCTTTTATAATTGTAATTTTCTCATCAAGACAGAAGGATAACTTTTCTCAGTCTTTCCTCTTGGTCCACCCTCTATATTTTTGGTTTCAGAAACATGGATTCTCATGCCTTGCAAGACTTCCAGAGTGCACTCACATGCTCCATTTGCATGAATTACTTCTTAGAACCTGTCACCATTGACTGTAGACACACCTTATGCCAACCCTGCCTCTACTTCTGCTGGGATGAAGCCCAAACACCCAGGTGCTGCCCTCATTGTAGAGAAATAGTTGAGAAGACAGACTACAGGACCAACACTGTCGTCAAGAAGCTGGCCTCTCTTGCCAGACAGGTTAGACCTCCCTCTGTCAGCAGCTCTGGGGAGCAGCTCTGCAGGAGAAATGGGGAGACAAAGGGGCTCTTCTGCAAGGTGGACAAGAGCCTGCTCTCTGCACCCTGCTCTGAATCACCTGAACACACGGATTGCGTGGCGGAGGAGAACAGGGTGAGTGATGTACCCTAGAACCTGAGGGTCCAGATCAAAGAGAAAGATGAAGACTCCTGATAATGAGGCAGATAAGCATGAAGATGTAGAGGTGGTGATGTTTCCGTGAAAATGTGCTGTATAAATGCTGATCAATTTGACACTAAAATCATAAATAAGTTGAATGCTCATGAAGGGAATTTCCTCTAGAAATATTGTCCAAAAAACAGGGCATGGTGGCTATGCCAATACTTCTAGCTCTTCAGCAAACTGGGGCAGGAGGATGCTAGGTTTGCGGCCAACTTGGGCAGCTTAGCAAGACACTCTCCTTCTTTTCTTTTTTTAAAGGGCTGGGATATAGTGGAGAGGTAAATTATTGACTACTTTGTGTGAAAATTTTTTTTCAGTATCCAGTACTAAAAAACAAATTAAAATGTAAATATATTGTCTAAATGTGTGAAATTGGGCAGCAGTACAGCAGATGGCTAGCACTAGGAACATGAACTTCTGTTACTGAAGCCTAAACCCTTTTATAGTGAGACTATATAAAAACTGCTTTCTCGGAAAATGGACTGTATCATTTATGGACTCTTTTAAAAATCTTATTTTTTCTTCTACTTTACCCAATAGTAAAATGAATTTGGACTATTTTGTAAAAATTGACTCTTTAAAACTCAAGATTACTGTTCTCCCAAACACTGCTTTATTCTAGCACACAAAAGATGAARCCTACAAGACTGTCTTCCCAATCACTAAAGCCTATGGTAATTTTGCAGGAGAAAATTGTAAAGAAAATGGATCCTTTATGGCAAAAGACTCAGGAGATGCAAGATAATCTAAATAAAGAAATTAGAAAATCTGAGTCTTTTGTGGTAAGTTTGAAAAGGTTTTATTTTTATGCAAATTAAAATGATGCTATCAGCTGAATTGGAGCTAACATTGAAGGATAGTGTTTTCCTCTCAGACAAGGCAGTGACATCTAGTAATATTAGAAATGTAGTGGCCAACACAAACTAGTGTGAAGAATACTAGTATATAGGGTGAATGAGGCATGACTGTTATCTCTTGTACAGCTCTGGAGATTTGGATAAATCTTCCCAGACACTGAGAATAAGACAGTCTTCATTCTAGAGTCAGAAGAGAAATAGATTTTCAGCTATGGGCAAAGTGGAGTATTTTTTAAATTCACAAAACAGTGTGTATAAAAATATGTTAAAATATGTAGAAGAATCAGACAAAGGAACAAAAATAAAATTGAAGATTGAGGTAAAGAAGAAATAATTCATTAAGAACACTGAAGTGGCATCATAGGGAGATAGGCTGGGATCCTGCAGAGATCTTGATTTAATCAGGAGAGAGACAAGAATCAGAAAGTCCAGTAGACAGTACTAGTAGATATTTAAGACACTTTGCAGGCATCAGGTGGAAAGCATATGAAGTACTTGCTTGATGCTAAGACAATAATATTTGAAGTTTTACATTTTCTTTTGAATGTAATCTTGTTTTAATGAATATATCTGCAGGACTATGTCATTTTAAGGATGAACATGATCAAAGTTCAATATCAAATGATGCATCAGTTTCTCCTTGAAGAGGAGAGATTTCAACTGGRGACACTAGAAAGAGAAGCACAGGAAATTTTACAGCAACTCAGAAACAGTGCAATCAGAATGGCCCAACACAGAGAAAAGCTGAAGGAAATGTACAGAGAGCTGATGGAGTTGTGCCACAAATCTGACATGGAGTTGCTCCAGGTGACCAAGGTGGGTTCTTCCTGAGAGAGAGGAATTCTTGTCTGGGCAATGTTGTCTGCAGACCCCACTGTGCTGAGCTGAGATCCTTTACACCCATCAGGAGATCCTTTACACCCATCATTATCCAATCACTTGTCTCTGTATATTCTGTTAATCTTGAGAGACTGTAAGTCATTTAGAAGGTAAACAATACAAAATTCTTGTATCAATAAGACTATGATACCCACAGCGAATTATCCAAAACTCAGTGATCATAGGAAAGTTAATTTTGTTGAGGAAATATTCAGTTTATGTTTCCCAACTCCATTATCACACTCTGTTCTCCTGCCCAAAAGCAGCTGAGGCTTTGCCCCTCTCTACACAAGATTTACAGAGTTTGTTAATCACTTACAATGCACTATTTTTCCAATAGGTCACTGTTTAGTTTTAATTTTCAGAGATGGTCAAATCTGTTTTGGGAACTAAGACAGGAGTTGAGTGACACTGGAAACTAGATCCTGTTGCATCAGTGCACAGATCCTTTGTAAGCTCCATCCTTCTCAATGCACACCAAGGCTGTCTTTCACATTTAATTTTGGCTTTGGTTTTAACATGGTCTAACGTGATTACTCAGAGAAAAAAATGTTACACACACACATAAACACTCATACACACATACACACACACACACACACACAGAGAGAGAGAGAGAGAGAGAGGGAGAGAGACAACAAAGTACCAGACAGAATGCAGAAAAACAGTGTTCACTTTATTAATATTATCTCTTTCTTTTTTCCTTTTAGGAGTTAGGGGACATATTTGAAAGGTAAGTTTTATGTAGTAATCTCTAGTTTATGAGAAACTTGTTTTTCTCTTGAAGAAGAGAAATTTTTGTTTTCAGTTATTAACATCTTTGTCCATAGATATTTAATATTTTTTTTGAAAAGAAGCTTTTGAGGTAATATGTTTCTTGGTCTCAAAAATGACTTTTTTTTTTTTGCTGAATTCAACTATACCTATGATTTGGTGTTCTAGGCTTTGTTGCACCCATTCCTTCTATGGACTCCAGCCCAGTCCCAAAAAACCTGACAAAGGAGATTTTCATAAGGTATCACACAAAAGAATCCAATTCTAGTGAGGTAGAATATAAACAAGATAGGAAAGACTAATACTCCCTAGGAGGGAAAAAGAGGAGGGCTTCATTACCATCAGTAACAATGACCAGATACTGTTTCATCATGGCAAAGCCCCTTTTCAGAGGGGAAGGGCTGCCTGAGAACCCTCAGGATCAGTGCTACCAGGCTGTACTAGATTCCCTCCATGGGCAGAGATGATCAAAGTTGCTGGCTCAAGGAACTTTCCCATTTATAAACCAATGACTGTATCATTGGTGACCTCTGTGGACCAAAGTCCCAAAGGTTGAATAATCTGCTTTCTGTAAGATATCCAGGATCTTTGCATTTCCCAAGGTTGATTCAGAAATACAGGGAGGGGATGACAATCAATTTTTTAAAGTTGGATAATGTTTGAGAAAATAAAGACTGGATATTAGTACATCTGATTTAGAAAAAAAAGTTTTATACAATTCTAAGATTGTTGAATAAAATGTATTCCTAATTCACCAACATGAGCAATTTCTACAATATCTTGGATTAAAAGTGGTAATTTTGTAATGATTTTGTGTTTGATCTTTGGTTTGAAAGTGTAACTGATGTCATTCTTTACAGAATCGAGTTGCTGGAGATGCAGAAGCTCCAGCCAGTGAACCCAGAGCTGTCTTCATTACACATCACTGGAATCTTGGATATGCTGAACAAGTTCCGAGGTAGGAGTGTGCAGCAGTCTGGCTGCAGCAAAATAACCCGGGGTGGGGGGGGGTGGGGAGGGGTTAGTGATGCGCAACTTGTGTACATTGATACAACAGGAGTGGGAGCCATTTATTGTAGGACAGGAGGGGTATATATACATTCCACACAGCTTATCTTAATTAACATAAACTAGATACAGCAGTCAACCAATAAGGAATCTCCACACTTAATAGCTCACTGGCCTTACTTCAGAAACCACTCACTCTGGCATTTTGCCAGGGGCCATCTTGACTTGTTTATATACCCTAACAGGAGTAGGCCCTCTGGCATTCAGGATTAATTATTTTAGTAGGTTCCTCAAAAAGATGCTTTCCATTTTTAGTTTTTTGAAAAGAAAACATTTATATCTTCTTTTCCTGTCTAGTCATAATACAGTGATCAAGACCACATTGGTTAACTTGTAATTCAGATACATATTTTATTTCTGATACAGACAGTACAAGAGAAGGAATATTATTGGCGTTTTGTGGCTATTAAACAATGCAATGCTTACTTCTCAGAGCAGCCATCAATATTTTGTGCTATTTCAGTTTATTCTAATTTTGAAGATTTAAATATGATATTTGTGGTTTTCAATCTATTATATATACCCAAGTGCATTTATGATGTGCAATGAGCAAGTAATAATTTCTATTTATAAAATATAAGTTTTTAATGAACCAAAAATGACTGAATTTGCCATAAATGGAAAAATTTTAATACCATCAGATGGATTTCAAAACAACTGAAAGGTAAGTGATCTTTGTACATGACCCAGACATGTTTGTGCCCAACTAGAGGAGAGGTCTAGATATCAGAAGGCTGAAATCCAACTTTAATTGAATGCATGGTCTCAGTAGATAATGTAAGTCAGAGATTCTTTTCAGTAAAGGGTACAGATGGTTGCTTTCCCTCAAATTATTTGATGTGTTATAATGAAGCGGGCACAATCATAGCAAAGTGATGTCTACTTATTAATGGTATTAAAAACAACTCAAGAAGAGATTTCTACTAAAGAAAAAAAGGACCTTTGGGTTTTTTTCTGAAACAAACCATCCAAAAGTAGATATTAATTCACCCAGCATAATTCATACAGCACAGAATAACTTCAGTTTTCTTTTGATTGCCAARATAATTTAAAGATTTCTGGGTGCTAATGAGGGCATAGGAACCATTCTTCATACATGATTGAGTTTGAAATCTCTCTACTCTAGAGTTTCTTTAAGGAGGAATCAATAAAGAGATTGATTAGGTAGATAATCTTTGCCCAAGGCATGCAGACACCATTTACTGATCTGATTTCTTTCTTTCTTTCTTTCTTTTTTTTTTTCTTGCAGTACACAATGGACTTATATGAGTTTTCCTGATGAAGTTAGAAATAGGATATTTGGAGTTGATGGTGCAACTGAAAATCCCCAGACACTGGAGAGTTATGTTATATGGGGTGTTGAGGCCTTTAACTGTGGTAAACACTATTGGGAGGTRGATGTGGGGAACACCTCCAACTGGATTATAGGTGTGTGTAAAGATATTACAAGTGACAGTTTTGAAGGTAAAAAAGGTTTTGTCTTATTTTCCTCGAAGAGGAACAATCACTGTATTCTCTCCACCAACTCCCCATCTGTAATTCAGTATTTACAAAGGCCTGCAGGTCGAGTTGGAGTATTTCTTGATTATGAAAATGAAACTCTGAGCTTCTATGATGTTTGCCGAGGTTCCCTCATTTACAGTTTCTTTTCTTTCTCTTTCACATCCCCTCTAACTCCTTTTCTTGTCTTTGGTTCTCCTTAAAATTGAGGTTGTCCTAGACATGGTTTTACATGCCCTTAATCCTTGCTACACAGGAAGCTGTGACAGGAGGACCACAAGTTTTGAGGACAGAATGGACATTTAAAATAGAGATAAAAATGGGGGTCAAAGGACAGTTGAAGGTCAGTAGTAGAGCACTTTCCTAACTTGTGTGAGTCTCTGTGTTCATCCACAGTAATGAGAAATAAAAATAAAAATAAGTTTTTAAAAATGAAAGAAAAAACTGAGAAAATTCAAAAAACTATGATAATTCATTGGTGAATGCCCAAGTGTGAAGACACTGCGTTCTTGGGAGTTTCTCATGTTATGTTACATGCCTACACATGATGTCTGGGGGTCTGTTTTAACTTAAGGAAGTATAATCATTTTATGGCCATAAGTTGTGATAACCACATTGAATTTATAAATTTGTTCATTCAATTTTATTTTAATAAAGTGTTGTGAAACCACCATGATATGATTTGAGGTTATTTTTCAGTTCCTTCAAAAAAATTCAATACCTATTAACATTAACTTCCCATTCATTCCCACTTCACACTGCCTGGAATTTTCTGAACTGTTTAGGTTTTTATGGATTTGTGTATTTCAGAAAGTTCATGAAAATGGATATGTGTTGTTTTTGTATCTTTTCTCACTTAGTATAAAACTTTCAAGGCTCATGAACAATGCAAACTATGTCTTTATTTTTTATTTATTTATTTTTATTGGTTGTTCAAAACATTACAAAGCTCTTGACATATCATATTTTATACATTAGATTCAAGTGGGTTATGAAGCACCATTTTTACCCCAAATACAGATTGTAGAATCACATTGGTTACACATCCACAGTTTTACATAATGCTATATTAGTAACTATTGTATTCTGCTACCTTTCCTATCCTCTACTATCCCCCTCCCCTTCCCTCCCATCTTCTCTCTCTACCCCATCTACTGTAATTCATTTCTCTCCTTGCTTTTTTTCCCATTCCACTCACAACCTCTTACATGTCATTTTGTATAACAATGAGGGTCTCCTTCCATTTCCATGCAATTTCCCTTTTCTCTCTCTTTCCCTCCCACCTCATGTCTCAGTTTAATGTTAATCTTTTCCTCCTGCTCTTCCTCCCTGATCTGTTCTTAGTTGCTCTCCTTATATCAAAGAAGACATTTGGCGTTTGTTTTTTAGGGGTTGGCTAGCTTCACTTAGCATTTTCTGTTCTAATGCCATCCATTTCCCTGCAAATTCCATGATTTTGTCATTCTTTAATGCTGTGTAATACTCCATTGTGTATAAATGCCACATTTTTTTATGCATTCATCTATTGAAGGGCATCTGGGTTGGTTCCACAGTCTAGCTATTGTGAATTGTGCTGGTATGAACATCGATGTGGCAGTAGCCCTGTAGTATGCTCTTTTAAGGTCTTCAGGGAATAGTCCAAGAAGTGCAATAGCTGGGTCAAATGGTGGTTCCATTCCCAGCTTTCCCAGGAATCTCCATACTGCTTTCCAAATTGGCCACACCAATTTGTAGTCCCACCAGCAATGTGCAAGAAAACCCTTTTCCCCACATTCTCACCAGCACTTGTTGTTGTTTGACTTCAGAATGGCTGCCAATCTTACTGGAGTATGATGGTATCTTAGGGTGGTTTTGATTTGCATTTCTCTGACTGCTAGAGATGGTGAGCATTTTTTCATGTACTTGTTTATTGATTGTATGTCCTCCTCTGAGAAGTGTTTGTTCAGGTCCTTGGCCCATTTGTTGATTGGGTTATTTGTTATCTTATTGTTTAATTTTTTGGAATTCTTTGTATACTCTGGATATTAGGGCTCCATCTGAAGTGTGAGGAGTAAAAATTTGTTCCCATGATGTAGGCTCCCTATTTACCTCTCTTATTGTTTCTCTTGCTGAGAAAAAAAAAAAAAAACTTTTTAGTTTAAGTAAGTCCCATTTGTTGATTCTTGTTATTAACTCTTGTGCTATGGGTGTCCTATTAAGGAATTTGGAGCCCAACCCCACAATATGTAGATCGGAGCCAACTTTTTCTTCTATCAGATGCAGAGTCTCTGATTTGATATCAAGCTCCTTGATCCATTTTGAGTTACCTTTTGTGCATGGCAAGAGAAGGGGATTCAGTTTCATTTTGTTGCATATGGATTTCCAGTTTTCCCAGCACCATTTGTTGAAGATGCTATCCTTCCTCCATTGCATGCTTTTAGCCCCTTTATCAAATATAAGATAGTTGTAACTTTGTGGATTAGTCTCTGTGTCCTCTATTCTGTACCATTGGTCCACCCTGCTGTTTTGGTATCAGTACCATGCTGTTTTTGTTACTATTGCTCTGTAGTATACAAACTATGTCTTTAATGTACAGTTTTTTTTTAATCAAACCTGTGCAAATGTTCATCAAATTGATATTTACTTATTGCCCCTGGACTCTAAATTTCAAGATCAGAAGGGTAGTACTACCATATTCTTATCATCCAAAATGCAATTCTTAGGAGGTAATACATGATACAAATGGAGTGAAAGAGTGGATTAATTAACCAATAAAAGTCATATCAAGCAATACCAGTGTAGCATTAAGAATACTTCCCAAAATGCAGCTAACAAGGTAAGAAAATGCTAATAAATAATTTTAATAAAGGTCAAGTAATAGGAGATTTCCAGATTCATAATCTTCTATGGGCTGGATCTGAAAGTCCCTGAAAGGTCCCTGGGTTTAAAGGCTCCTTCCTGAGATGTGCTGTTGGTTCAACAGTTATACAACCTTGGTGGTATGCAAGATGAAAAAGGGTTTCCCAGGTGGGTGGCCCAGCACCATGAGTAGACCCATTGAGACAGAATTGCAGACAACTGAGATGTGTTGAAGATGGGATGCAGATTTTTGTCTTGGCAGTCAGTCAGATCCCTGAGCCCTCCTCAACTAAGCAAGGCTGTTCACTTTCTTACAAATCCACATCCAATGAAGAAAAAGGTGCCGGTTCAAAGTGGTTGCGTTTTGTTCGAAGGGAGAAGGCAACCACACCTCACCTTTGGTTTCTCCTGTTCCCTGTGGCGCCCCCCCACCCCTCTGCCAGGTGACTGTTATGCCCCATACTAAAGAATAGAGGTAAAAATAGAAGCACGGTTAAGACTGAGGTGGAATCTGAGCTGCTGTTCCAAGAGGACCACCTAGAGGAAAGAGGT